AATTTCGAAATTTAGCGCACTGGTTGCCTTGCTCTAAGTAGGTCAGACGGAGGCCCTTGCCATTTAGAGTAGGATGTACTGTAAGGCTGGTACATTACTGCTCAGACACCATCCTGTCTAAAAAGTTGATCCATTTCGATACTGTACCGGAGGCCGATATTCTGTAGGGCATATTCTGTAGCCAGGGCAATAAGACGTATGCACGTGAGATTTTGTGAGAGACGGAGAAATAGGGTGAAATAAGGTAAAATAATAGGGCCATTTGCGGATCTTGGGGTGACAGGTGCGGCTTTTGATGCCCTTGGGGAGGTGAAGTTCTAGCCCTGGGGGTGTTTTGGGAGCGACTACCCCAATTGAGGTGGCATTGAAGGGTGACGTTCCTCATTCATCCAATTCCGAGGGTGACGTCGCCCTAAGAAAACGACATGTTGAAACATGCCGATCTTTGTCTGTGTCTATAGGGCGACATTGGATCGTTTTCTGAGATTGATGTGATTTCAGTTGGAAATATAGGGTGACTTCATATGTGAAACACCGGCAACTTCTACGCACTCTATCTACATACAATTACATACAGTATTTTCCGTATTTTCCATACCACGGAAGCATGTTTACCTAGTGTTTTCATCCCCATAAAGCTGTCTCAGTGCACAATCAGTAACAGTATGCGTCTCAGAACGACAAAGAGAGCAAGTATACTTCCTCTTTGATGGCGCAGGTCCGTTCTCATACCAGCTCTTCTTACGTTTTCCCGCGTTTTTCACTGGCCTCCCACGAGGAGGAGGGATAGCTTTGGGAATTCTTAAGTTCTGACCAAAAGCTACTAACCGTTTCGCTTGTTTGATAACTTTGTCGACAGAGTATTGCGCCGGCATTGAGTAACACAAGCTGTAGTAATTCTCTTTCCATGCTTTCGTCAAATGTCGTCGCGCAACGTGCTTATACAAATCATTAGATCCGTACTTCTCACATATGACAGCCGTTCCGTGATAGCAAGGAAAACCGGAACCATCTCGTGAATGCATGCAGCATGAAGGGGGCGTGTTTGGCTCTGAACGCATGACTACATGCCTCAAACGCGTTCCGTCCACCACGCTTCGTACCGTCGCCTCCATTTGCCCCGTTCCCTCTACAAACCTAACAGACTCCTTATAAACTCTTGATCTCTGAATGAGTAGCGCAAGACGTTGTTCAATGTGAGGTGGTACGGGACTCTTGCAGTTCATTGCAGTTGCTTGCCGCTTCAAAAAGGCAGTTCGCTGTGTCGACACAACTTTCTCCAGCATCTTTTGAGGCTCCACTGTCCTGATGTGGTTTCGCAGGGCGGCGGACATACCACTTTCAGCTCCTTGAGATGTCGTGATTAGATCTTGCAACATCGAGCATGCTCTGTACAGCTCACTGTCATCAAACCTATTAAGGTAATCTGACATCTTCATCGGGAAGTCTTTTTTGGCTTGAATAACCTCATCCTTGCTTGGGTTTCGAAGCGCTTTATCGTACATGCGCACACCAACAACCTTTCCCGCACCCAGTGCTGTAGCGAGATTTTTTCGGACATGCAGTGGGTCCAGGAACAACTTCGCGTGCTGCATGCACCGCTTGTACGCTGAGTCGATAGATTTCTCCTGGTCGACAATTGTCGTCCTCGTAGGTACATCAAACCCTGGGATATCCGCGGCGGCAGCAAAAACTTTCTCCCACGTGTCCATTCCCTCAGCTCCCACGAAATGGGCGAACACCAAGGGGCAGAGTTGATGGTTAGTGTCGTATCCGAACACTTCAAATGTGGTTCCGTAAGAACGGCGGCCCAAACCCTCGCAATGAGCGGCATCCGCTGCGCATGTCATCCTGCCCTTTCTACAGAAAGCTTCTGCAACCATCGGGACGAAGAGGAACCCGCCATAATATTTACCCTCATCCGCAATATCCGAGACGTCCACATCCTCTACATTAAACCCGGATTGTAGGGATCTTAGTTTTTCAGAGTATGAAAGTGTTTGCTGTTGTTTGTATATGAATCGTGCAGCCTTGATGCGCTGCGCCTTCATTTCCGTACCGAACAAGATGAAAATGTCCACCCTGTGCCCCAATTCCCTCAACAGATCAGAGTATCCTTCCAGGGCAGCCATGTCAACGGCTCGAGCAGCTGAGATGTATCTGTTCAGCTCGCGCCTCACAGCGCGAATGTGTGAGTTTGCTGGTTGTCGACGGTAAATTGACTTCGCCCTTAAAATGGACGCTAGGACGCTGGTGGGCATGTCAGGGTTCAAGGCGAACTCATCACGAAGCGCCCGTGCGGTCTGCTCAGCGGTATACGCCGGTCTAATTTGACAGGACTTTCTGTCGACTGACTGCCCATAGCACTGGTTTTCGTGCTCTTGGAACCGATTCAACTTCCACAATCCCGATTTCGGTTGCCGATTAAAAGTGAGAGTTGCGGCACAATGCTTTCGTCGACAGTCCATACGCACCATTTCGAAGTTTTTCACCACATTCACTCCCTCCGGCACACCCAAATTCGCAGTATATGCTCGAATGAGCTGCTCGCAGCGCCATCTTCCGGAAAGCTGAATCCCAACCTCAGGGGTATACGGGACGCATCGCCGGGGAACCCACGTCATCTCTGCCACTCTATCCGCCGCTATTTCCGCCATTGCCTTCCGCTGACTTCTCTTTTTTCACGCTCTCTTTTGTTCCGCTCGCCGTTTCTTCTGTTCGTCTTCAGACAAAGTTCTGAGGTCAACTGGCAACACCCTTTCAGCCGCAGCTGCTGCATCACAAGCTTCTCCATTGCTGCTGGTGTCTTCAGGCGTGACGGCTATGTACGCTCCGAAATCAAAGTCATCGTCGTCAATACATTCCGGGCGAGGGGAACGAGAGGAATCTGCTTCATCTTCCATCGAACTTTCTTCTTCGGCATCAACATCCTCATCGTCCTCTTCCTCATCCGAGTTCACCCCGTCACCTCCCTCTCTATCCCAATCATCGTCAGGCGCCCCAACGAACTCCGCTTCCTCACCATCTGGGCCGTGACCCATTTTAGATTCAAACTCTCTACCCAGGACATCGGTCATAAAATCGGTTCCGTCAAACGAAGATGTATGGATCCTGGGGGAATTATTCCGAGCCCCTCCTTGGCTCCTTGATTCATGACGATCCCTTCGTTCCCTCCTCTGCCTCTCTTCTCGTTTCCGCGCCTCATTATCCATACGTGCTCGTTCCTGATAAGACATTCTCTTCTCTCTGCGCTCCCTAGCCATCCGTTACCGCCTTTGCGTAATCGTCTCAGGCTTTTCCACCTGACATATGTCTTCGTCTTCCGTTTCCCATTCTTGTCTCATTTCCTTCTCCCTCCGCTGATGTCCCCATTCACTTTCCGCTGAGCCTTTTCTTTCCCTCTCTTCCTCCAATGCCTGCTCTTTTTCTCTCTCCGCTTCCTCCCTCTTCGCACGTACTCTCTCCTCCTCTAGCGCCTGCTCCCTTTTACGTCTCAAATCCTGAGCTCTTTCTTCTTGCATCCTTTCTTCACGATTGCGACGCCCCTCCCTCTTTTCCCTTTCTTCACTTTTGTCCGTTTCTTTGCTCCTATCCTCGCCTTTTTCCGCTTGAGAAGACATTTCCTCCTCCTCAGCCATGACCTTTCTTCGAATATTCTCCCTTTCCTCCCTTAACATGAGTTTGAGTAGTTTCTCCTTCGAGGTTGGAATGAGTGTAAAAAGTAGTGTTGCGGGAACCAAATTTGAAGCATCTTCCCCGTTTTCCATCTCATCAAAACGAATGTCTCTCTCAGCTTGTTCTTTTGCGCGAGTGAGCTTTTGCATAGCTTTATTCGCGGAGGAGCGATCCGACACACATCTGTCCGGATGAACAAGAAAAGAGAGCTTCTTGAAACGCTTTTGTATATTGCGCAAAGTGGGCTCGTCACTTTCGTCCGCCGTATCTCCGGGATGAGCGCAACAAAAGACGTCAATTACGGGCGTTTCGTTGATGTTGATTGTCCCAAAGTGATGCAGGGCCTTTCTGGCGTCTGGCGGAAAAGATCGCATTATCCCGCCAAAATATGGCAGAGAAAAAGGGGAAAGAACAGAGGGTGACAGTGAAAAGCGAGCTGCGGTGCGAGGGATACTTCCGGAGGATGGATTTTTGTGGGGTGACTCTCGGAGAAAGTGGTCGAGGCGCAGGCCGAGGCGCAGGATATTTGACAAGAATATCTGCGCTGCGGACGCCCTACAAATGAGACACTCATGCCGGCCAGAAACACTGTTTCTGGAGGACCAGTAGTTTCATACGAATTGCTCAATTTTTGCAGATAATGCGCCATACATGCCATTTGTGCAATGTCCGAGTGTTTACCAGAGCTTTGAGACCCACATTTACGTCACATATCGTTGTTGTTGTACACTAGTTTTGAGAGCTGCTCCGTAGCACGCTGATTATTGAGAAAAGCCAAAGTTTACAGGGATACATGTTTTGTCACCCGTCCTATCTACTCGTACAAGTAGTCTCAATTTCACCGAAGCTCTCTCAACTTTTGTACTGAAGCGGTGGAATGGAGGGTATGAGGGGAAGAAGGGGTAGCGGATGGGTTGTTTGGACCGAGAAGTGAAAGCTCAAAACCTCCAATGATTACCGCAATGTACGCATGAGACAAAGGTCGTTAATGGTTCATCTGCGGACCGGGTCTGCATCTGGTAATAAGTACATTTTCTTTGCTTGCATTTTCCGCACTTGAACATATCAGTACTTGCCTCTTGCTTGCTAAACGGCATCGCATCTCTGGTCATCTTAGCACGAACTTCCTCCCGATTCTTTCGTAGCTCATGATGAGGGCGCAGGCGTCCGTTTCGCCGAGAATTCGTTCAGAGATGACAGGGGCGTTGGGGTGTTGGTCAATACAACTGCAACAGCGTTTGATCACATGAGCAATGTCCCAGTCGATGGGAGTGGTGGCCTACCAGTAGGTGACGGTACTGGGGTGTCGCCGTAACAACTATATGTGGACAGATAGACTTTCTTCCTTTTCCAAATTGTTCATCATAGATTGTGTAAATGGGAGCCTGTACAAGTCTGATACCATGCAAGTTTAACAGCTCCGATGTCTTGTTAAGCATGTGCATCCAAGCGATGGAGGACGCCGTTTGAGCGGAAGCAAGCGAGGAAGAGTTCCTCAATAATGTAAAGTCTCTTCACAGAACCCGTATATACATGTCATACGGTCGAGCCATATGAGCGATATCCACGGCGCATCAGCGAACGACGTGGAATTATCAGTTTCGCTGCAAATACAGTACTTCGTAGGGACAGGATAATGACGAGGACAGCTTGCCGAGAGATACAATGGCCACCTTCGACACCTGTTGATTGGCGGAATGCGTTCTGACCATGAAACTAGGCCAATAGGAGTGATTCCCATATGGTGACCTTGCTTGACAATGAATGAGGATCCGGACTGCAGAGGGCAGGCTGTGATGTCCGCAGAAGTATTTGGTTGTTCCAAGAACATTTTAATACGCAAACCAGGCAGCTACATTACTCATGAGTCCTGCACTGTCGTCGGAGTGAGCGCCACATCGCTAGATGAAAAAGGCTATGAAACAGTGACAGAAAGAATCGCTCCGGCTGCATTTCAGCCGCACCAGAGACAAGAAAGGGAAACCTACACTATCAACAATACGAGTGCACCACCTCTCCCATGACCCGCACGCCCAGCAATACGCCCGCCACCCTGTCGTCTCCGCCCACTCCTTCCCGCCGCAGCCCATGCACCCGACGGACCGCCGCCCGCCGCTGCCTATCGACATCAAGCCGGTCCAGAAGCCCACCGCCACCTACGAGCTGGATGACTCCCCGCCCATCGAGCCGCACATCGTCATGCAGATGGGCGGCATCCCGTACGCAGACCTGTGCAAGGAAAAGGCCCGTGAGGCCTTCAAGGAGATGAAGAAGAACGAGCACATGGCCAAGGGCGAGTTTGACCAACAAGAAGCAACAAGTGGCGGAAGCAGAGCCGAAAACCTCACTCTCCCTTGCCACACGCGCGTTTCAAGCTCCTGCCCCCGAAAATCCGCGCATACAAAAGATCGAAAATCCAATCGGCACTGTCCCGTGAACTACTCAGAACAGCCAATGGTTTGGCCATGAACAATGTGGCGGCGGGCCACGTCCAAACGACCGGCTCATATTGCTCACCTGGGGCGCAGCGTGAGATTCTTGTACGCCAGTCTACCGCCATTCGCGGCTCAGGTTGCATCGCCACTCAACGCCCATCAAATATCCCCCTTCCGCTGCCGAAGCGCATGCGCCTGTCAGTGTGCCGTGGAGATACACAAAGAGCCAAACAGTGGCTCCCTTGGCGTTTTCAGCCTCATGATTCGGACCTCCCTCGACCACCGCACCTCGACTTTTTCCCATCTTTTCTCAGCACAAACATCTAAATAAGGTTTAAGTCATCCCTCTGCCCATCCTTGTCCCTTTTGACTCCGCAGAATCGTCATTGGTCTTCACTTTACCCTCGTCTCGAAACGAACCCTCTCTTCAAAGACCAAGGCCGCTTCTCTCTTGTCCCAACCATCCTCTATTGTTTCGAGTTCCCCCGAACAACGATAGAACCCAATGGCCGCCCTCCGCTCCCTCGCCTCCGTCAGGCGTCGCGCCGGGCTCCTTGTCGCCCCTAGGGTATCTAGCTTTGCCAACTCGGTTCCCGCGTCTTCCTCCTACGCCTCGTCATTCTTCTCGCGATCCGTCCCGACGCGTTCGTCCTTTTCCAACTTGTCCCAATACGCTCGCACCTTCTCCGCTGTCCCGGAGCTCTTCAGCGCCACGGACTCCTTCGCGAAAAGGCATAACAACACCTCGAGGGACGTGTCAGAAATGCTTGCGTTCCTCGGCTTGCAGGACATCAATCAGCTCATCGACCAGACTGTTCCGTCTTCCATTCGCAACAATCGCGACTTAGAGGTAGGCCCGGCCCTTTCCGAGACCGAGGCTTTAGCCAAACTCAAGGCAATGGCTAGCAAGAACAAGCTCTACCAGAACCATATCGGCATGGGCTACCATGGCACTCTCACCCCACATGTCCTCCTCCGCAATATTTTGGAGAACCCTGGATGGCACACCCAATACACACCGTACCAAGCAGAGATTGCCCAGGGCCGGCTTGAGTCCCTGCTCAACTATCAAACTATGGTGGCCGACATCACTGGTCTTCCAGTTGCGAACGCCTCTCTCCTCGATGAGGCCACGGCCGCCGCGGAAGCCATGTCTATGTGGTTCAACATCGCCCGTAGAAAGAAGAAGTCTTTCTTCGTCAGTGAGCTCGTTCAACCTCAAACCATCGATCTGGTCAAGACTCGTGCCGAAGGATTTGGTGTGGAGGTCATTGTCGGTGACCACAAGACATATGACGTCGCTGCGAACAAGGACCTTTGCGGTACCTTAATCCAATACCCGGCCACTGATGGATCCATTGATGACTACGAACCATTCATCGCGGCAAGCAAATCTGCTGGTGCCAAGGTTGTCATGGCCACTGATCTTCTTGCTCTCACAACTCTTAAGTCACCCGGCTAGATGGGTGCCGATTTCGCTGTCGGTAACTCCCAGCGCTTTGGTGTTCCGATGGGATACGGAGGCCCTCACCCGGCTTCCATTCAGAGAACTTAAATTTCGCTGATTCTCATCTGCTGCGCTAGCCCCTGCGATCGTTGAAGCCGATACAAGAAAGAAGGACTGGCGCGCCCTGTTTCGATTCCCTCCTCGCGACAGTAGCAACTCGTTCGGCAACGCGGTCCTTCCCTGCTTCCTCCGCGTGGCCGACCCTTCTCTCCCTCTCTTCCAACTTGCGCACCCACGCATGTAGCCTCCCCTGCTCGACGCCCGAGTACTTCAAGCTGGCGAAGAAGGAGCGGGAGGGGCAGGGGATGAACACGAGCAGCGTGAGGGCTTCTTGGAATTGACAGGGACTTTAACTAGCTCCCTCACTTCAGCCACGCGCAAATTTTTTGCTTCATCTCCGCCAAGGAGACGAAGCACATCTTCGGTTAATGCGAACGGATACCTTGAAGCGCTATCATGGACAATACCACGGTTGCAGTCCAGCGCAACGCAATGATCTACAATTCCGTGTTCCACTATTCGGACTATCCACACGCCTTGATTATGGTGCGCAAGCCACTTGAAAGGATTTGCATCGAACGCCTTCTTCACAGCTTTAGGAACTCGGCGCACTGATAGTTGAGCGGGAATTTGGTGAACCAGAGAAAAGAGTTGCTTGAGTGTTTTGATCTTCATCGGATGCTTCCGAAGGTACTTGTCGACGCTTGTTCCTCCTGTGGTACCATATAGCGCACAAGTGCCGTTGGACAGCGCAGCCGACACGCATGAATCGTCGTTGCTGCGCACGAGGTTCGGGCCATACTGGTGCACCTCAAACCTTCTTGATCCAGTGATTTGACCGCGTGCCCCAATACCACCGATGAGTATCGGCACACCGCGATGGGCCATCATCCACGCATACAGTCAACGGAACATCTCTTGCAAAAACTTTCTCTTGCGCGGCAAGTCGTTGGTACCATCATCTATAGCGTTTAATAGAGCCTGCATCGTGTGAAGGGATAGTGTAATCGAATTGGCATCGATAGGCCAGAAACTTTCGTCACCGCCTGTCAATCCGGCGGCAGCGTACAAAACGCCGTCTTGCATTTTGTGGCCGCTTGCCCCTTGTCGGCCATCACCAATCATCACCCTGTCAATCGCCCAGCTCATGGTGTCCAAGAATACTAGGAATGTTGCACCTCCCCGGAGATCTGCACAAACTTCCGTTCTTAATGGACACGCGTGAGATGGGCGCCGGGCTCTTTGGTGCGGGTTCCGGGTCACTTGGAGACGCGGCCGCGGTGCACCGTGCTAGAGGCAGGGTGAGCAAGGCGATGAAGAAGACGGGTGAGGGCATTGCGGCGAGATGTGCGGGGGGGGGGAGCTGGGGAACGTAGACGCCGAAAAATGGCGGGTTCAGAAGGCAGAACGTACGCCGCGTGACCGCGCGTCACCGTATGCCACTGTGGTGGGCACTGGGCGGCCTCTATAGCCACACTATATTGTTTCAGTTTTGAGAGCGCTTTATCCAGCGCGAAACCGTGCGTTGGCGTGCTTTTATAGGGGTGACATTAAAACAATCACGCATTTCTAGGGCGACTTTTCTAACATTTAGGTCTCTGCCGAAATGTCACGATGGTATACGTTTTTATGGGGTGACATCCCCGAATATGAGTTTGTCGGAGGTGACTTTACGATCGTTTTTCTGTCACCCTAGAAAACGTGCATTGTCACCCCCTGAAAAGGACACCATGGACCAAAATCACCCTACTAGCAAAGCACTTTTTAGTAGTGTCGCCCTATAAAAACCCCCACCGCATTGAAATCGCCCCACGTAGATTTCACTTTGGCCGGGTGTCGCCCCAAAATCTACACTTTGACCCTTTACATTACGCTGCAACAACTGTAAGTTAAGTGCAGGTACCCTGTACAGTATCAGGTTTCTACACGTACTAATATGACAGTCAAGCCTTTGGCCGAGTTAAGACATCTGCAAAAAATTGTGCAAGTATGGAATGTCAATTTGGTCGCCGTTATTGACTACGCATGAGACGCATCAGACATGATGACACGTGTTTGGAGACTGCAGTGGACGGGACGGCACTGTCATGATTCCCATGCACAGCTCACACACCTGTACCACGCACACACGTAGCACAGATGTAGCTCCCCAGGCAGCGCCGCCGCCACCGGCGCCGCTCCCCTTCTTAGTCGCACACGGTCCGTCTCCCTCAGTAAACTCGGGTATCGTTCCTTGCACCACAGGCACAGGCGTGAAGATCCTGGTTTCTTCCGGTATCAAAAGGGGATGTGATAGGACGTGCGCTTGACGAGGACTAGTGAGGACGGCACCAAAAAGATACTTCGAAGCTAGCGAGTCCCCCTCTCCCTCAGGACAGCTCGCCTCACCTCTCTTTGTTTCCTTCGACCCCGGTCCTTCGGCCGCTCCTCGCGCCCTTCGATCCTTCACCTGGTCTATCCTCATGTCCAAGTTCCTGCCATTCTCTCCTTAAGTCGACTACGCATTCTAGAAAATAATACAGAGCTTGGTTTTAATTCCTGGGTGCAGGATTTGGGATGGAGTCCTTTGCTGCCATCATATCCGCTGCTGAGCGTGATTCTTTAGCTGATCAGGGTGGAGTTGATGAAGAAATTGTTGATGAGTGGCTGTCAAAGTTTGCTCAGCAAGCTTCAGCAAATACTCACTACGTTAAGGCTGTTAATGATGTTATGAAGGTTCGTAAGACCGCTTTTAAGGCTGCTCGTTCGGTTAAGTTTCTGCAATTAAATCACTTCAAGAAGTATAAGCGTGCTGTCAACGAGAAGCTCGCTGAGCTGGCTAATCAGTCGCGTGAAGAGGAATTTCAGCGTAAGATGGGGTTTTCGAAGAAAACCCAGTTGGGTTTCCAGCGCATGATGTCGGATTATGGACTGGAGAAGGACAAAGTTTCAGCTGTCAATGCACAGTTGTGTAACCAGATCTCGAAGCTTCAGACACAAATCGAGGCAAACGCTGACAGACAGACATAACTCTTATATCTGCTCAACCAATCATATCAAAAGAACGGCGTCCGCAGAAGAGGTGCATTGTCACTGAGTTTAAGCATATGTCAAATGCGGTGTTGGAAAGTAATGAAGAGTCCTGGTTGGATTCATGGATTGACATGGATGACAATGAGCGTCTTCATTATGAAGATTTTGCGGCATATCGCGCTGGGTGTTCGTCGGATGGCCTCCTTGATCGTCAACGTGAGTTCATGAACCGAGACGAGACGGTGATGACGATTACCCGTTATGTGGCTAAACTTAACTCTAATGAACGTGCCGATATTGCGAAAGCGATTGAGGAGGAGATAACCTCGCGGGACTTGACATTTCTCAGACGCACAGTCTTGGGAGAAAAGTTGCAGGGAGACGCTCAAGTTGTGGGAAGCGCAGGGGAAGCTTCGAGCTAAACTTTATCTTTTGGTGCCTCCTTTTTGAATCTGCTCATTTGCGGACGCCGTTCTTTTGAGTTCTGAATTCTGCATTTCGATTCAGCTCCGCTTTCCTTCCCTGCTCTTCATGCCCTTTCAGCATGCAACTGATGCACATCCCTGAACGCGCACTGTCTGCGATTTACACACCTGGACACCTTGC